AGAAGCAACGTTTGGAATGGCGATAAATTTCTCTAAATCACGTGAGTCGATGTTGGGCCGGTCATCTAAAAATGAACTGTTCTGGAACTCTCGTTCACTGCCCATCCTAGCTTAAACTTGTGCCCATTATCAGCGTCGCAAGCGCCCGAAAATATAGAAGCATTGTTTGTTCTAAAATACGATTTTGCAAACGATAGAATAAAGACTCAAAGTCTGCTTCGCAATACAGCCGATTCACACAATGATAAATCTGGCATTTTAAACTGACTTGCATGAACGGCTGTCAATTCAGGTCGTTTTGGATGACAAAAGACCTAAAATGTGAGCAACCTAAGCTGAAATGAAGAGATGGCCTTCCGATACCAGTGAGTTTCACCCAGCCCTTGCTGCCAAAAAACTACCTAGACTAGAGTGAAATTCAAATTAAATCTTGTCTCGGTCTTATCAGTATCTCTATAGGGATTTAAGCCGAATCGGAATAGGCAAGCGCCAAGGTGTAACCACTCTGCCCCACGGCTTGCATTATTAAGGGGTGGCAGGGTAGATGTGATTTTCCCAGCAAACCAGAACCAATTCAATTCGCATCATACAGTTGCACAGGTATCTACAAGACGAACTAGTATATGAAATTAGACTGGAAGCAGCAGAATAAAATGTGTCTAGAATTGCATAGGCTTATGGCAATAGGCGAGTTAATTTTCACCATAACTTTTACTAACTTTCCATGACCCACAGGGGAAATAGTCCGAATTTAGGAGAGGGACGCGGTAATCCTCTATTTCAATCACAATTACCGCCTTGTCACTACTGTTCACGACCGAGACCACTTTTACTCCTTTAATTTACAAGCCGGTGTGGCACCATCCCATCTGAAGAGGACTGCCGCTCCGCTGCTAATTCACAGTCGGGCAAAATATGATTCTTATAATTAATTAGATCGTATTAGTAGCCAATATGACAAATACCATACGTAAAACAAAAGTATATTGAAAAGGATACACATTCAACACCCCCCTCATTCTGAATCACTTGATTGGAACGTATAAAAGCCTTGTCCACATGGAGGATGTCTTACTTAGCGACCAAAGTATAAGGTAAAGAAAACAACTAATACAAACGCGTGGTCAAGTGAATATAGCTTGATAAATATGGTAGAGTGGACTGACTATGAAAATTAATAAGACGATGAAAAGGGCCTCGAGGCTGCTAACGAATAATTACTTAACATTCTGCTTGACTGAACTAGACCCTCTCTTGAAGCGATGCCCCAATTTCTCTACAACAATACTCCACAATGGGTGTATTTCATGCTAAGGTAGAAGCTTATTTCTGGAAAGGAGAGAAACCAAATTTTCCATCATAGGAGCGTCAAATTGACAAGCAGTGGGTAGTCCTAACTGCAAGTACAACCGCTTAGAATCCCTTATTAGCGTACGAGTTAATCACTTAACAAGTTATTGTATCAAGGAAGACTTCACAATTGACGAAGGCTATGAGCCAATTAATGTCATGCTTAAAAGCCGCTCATCCGATCGAACAGCAATGAAGATTAAATTTTCCGTATTCCATTTATATCATTCAAATCCAATATTTTAAACATAGGTCTCAAAATCTACCAGCTCTTGATTGAAAACATCAAAGAATATTCTTAAATATACAGTTTTCCCACTCAAAAACTTTGACTCAGGGGATCAATTACAGTTTAATATAACTATCCTCGACTATAAGTGGCCAGGAGTTCACTCTGGTTATTCATAGACAAGAGTGAATGGTAAAAAGCTAGAAAGCTTTTTAAAAAGAGTATATGGGATCTAGTGAACGTTAAAGGAATGCATTTCGTGTACATGTGCGCGTGCACGTCCACAGGTTTACATCTTGGAAAATACACAGATAAATACAAGTCCAATGAAATAATTCACATAATTACTTTGTCCTATTATCAGATCTGGAAAGTAACAGATTTCAGGCCAAAGTTGGTGAATCAATTGAATACAAGAAGACCTACAGCAATCTCCCAAATGTTGTCGACTGCGATCCATGCAAATAAGGTCATGGGTCATGTCCTCCTTTATAGTGTAAACAAGCTGCATCGGCTAATTGCCGACGAATGAAAGACAAATATGCTGGCTTTATTAGGCCTGATAAAGTCAAATTAACTAAATTGGCCCTATTAAAATTTGGGTTTTAAGTAGGAAAATAAGAGGATTAGACTTAAATCATGTGGACTAAAAGGGACTACCAACTGGGGAAGCTGGGGCTTGGCAGACCGACCAGCATTTGGACAGCCTCCCTATGTCTAGACGAAGACTCCCCTGTAGTTCACCAAACTGCAAGCGCTGAACCGCTGTAGAGCTCTTGCCAGAACTTGGGACTTACGACATTGACGCATAATCAAGCCGGTGATGCGTGCTCGACTTTGAGCCTCAAGTTCACGCAGTTTTTCTTCGCGCCGCTTTCTCTGAAGCCACCTGCATAATGCACATGAAGAGAGGAATGATCGAATGAAAGAAGATAATTAGGTAATGCACCTATAGCCGATAAAGATACTCCCACAATCGTATATGTAGGCCTCACGTTTTCATTAAATTTCACATAACGGTGTATCATAGGATGACTAGAACTCTTATTTTTCGTTTATAAGTAGGATGGTAACTACTTCTTTTCTGAGCTATTCACCTATCCTGACGATTTTTTTTATTTTTTGCCATTGCAATAGACTACATTACTTATATTAATATAAAGTAGGTTTTTAAAGCTATCAATAAATTTAAAATAAGAGTTCTATCAGAGGTATTCACCTTACTTCGTTTAAAGTGATGGAGGACTGGTAGTTGAATTTTCTCACAATAATATGAGTAGAGCTGACGTTTACATTGAATTTCACATAGCCTTTCCTTATAAAAAGGTGCTCTCCTCCAGGGCGGACTGCAGTTCCGACCTCGCCTAGATCTTATCAATACCTCCTGTGGGACTCGAACCATTATAGTGAAGCGTATGACTTCGACACGTTAACAACTACGCCAGATTGCCGCGAGTGTCCTTGGGTCAGGGGGCAGATGTAAAATTCATGGAAGGCCAGGGACTTTCCCATATCACACTCTGGTGGAAATGTCGATATATCAAAATTATAATTGCTATGACAACCGATTACATTATTTATTTTTCGTTTGTAAATAGGTTTAGAGACTACCAACAGATCATATATATATATGAGTTGTATCACATTTGCCCTGTAACATAATGGCACTCGTGACAATGTGGAGTAGTGGTTAACGTGTCGAGATCATACGCTGCACTGTCATGACTCGAGTCTCCTAGAGGTATTGATAAGATATAGACGAGGTCGAAACTGCATTCGACCCTGGATAAGAACACCTTTTGGGAAAACAAGGCTATGTAAGATTCAATGGAAACGTCAGCTCTACTCATATTATTGTGGGAAAATTCAACTACCAATCCTCCATCACTTTAAACGACTAAGGTGAATACCTCTGATAGAAATCTTATTAAAAATTTATTGATAGCCTCAAAAAAATATTTTATATTAATATAAGTAATGTAGTCTATTGTAATTACAGAAATAAAATAAAATTTCTGTCAAAAATTCTACTATAGATGTAATATGGGATAAGCTTGGTCTTCCCTGAAATACACTTCTGTCATGTAATCCCCTAAGTCCCGTAGCAGTATCGCTTAGTGGTAAAATGTTAACATTAAACACTGCCATATTAGTAGGAAAACTTAGAGGAACGCACCTAGTCCGGAGTAAATTGTATGCATCATCATTTGCAAAGTAGGTCCGTGGACGTGGACGTCGGCATCGTCAATGAGTCTCGCCATTCGTATCACCATATTACAACTCGTCAAAGAAACAAGTGTAGCTCATCCTTTGACCAAACGTGTGCTAAACAGTTGTGGTATCTCCCCTTCTGCCCTGGGCTATTTACATTTCCTATATCGTCCTATCATGCCTTCTCTGTCAAAATTTTTGCCGTTCTTATTTTTAATGTAGTGTGGTGTGCTCCTTCGAGCGGTATTCATAAAAACCCTTCACACTCCACCCTTTCGTTATCACCCCCTTCACCCTTGTGCTGAGAATGTTGACCAGAGTCTGTCATATTGTTAAGTAGTCCTTCCCTGGGTCCTATCAAAGTCTCCCTCTTGCCCAGTCGAATTCGTCTACTATCTCCCTGGTACATGTATTTCACTCGACCCCTGCTCCCCCCATCTA